CACTTAGAACTCTGCTGGTTCTCCTTTGGACTTTAAGAGTAGGGGTGAAGGATTTCTCTCCCTCCCTTGCTTAGCAGCATCTATGGAAGCTATATACACAAAGTAGCAAGTACATGCACTATTTAGGGAAGCCTGAGACAGAATCTCAACTCCTTGACTGCCTCAAGCTTTGTGTTTCTTTCCTTGAGTACAAGTGACCAAACAGAAACCATCCCGAGGAGGATGTTTCTAGGTTTTGGCAGGCAGCTAATTCATGAACTTGAGAGTCAGTTGCGGTCTGCCATTAGGAAGTAATTCCTGCAACTGTAGCACTTCTTAGAGAAGAAAAGCTTTATTGCAAAGAGGATTCTTCATCTTAAAAACCAAGCCACAGAAAAGATTTGAAAGGAGATTGGGATTTGTAAATTGCTTAGATAATATAAATCTGAAGTGAATGCCTTGTACTGGCAGAGGGGTTTGAATAGCTCAATGAAATGGGGAACTATGCTTTTTAGAGTTTCCCAAATCAGACAGGTCTTAGTGGAGAATTCTGACAAAAGGTGATCCACTGGAGAATATGACAAACCATTCCAATATCTTCGCCAAGAAAATCCCATGGACGATATTAAAATGATAAAAGATATGACACTAGAAGATGAGCCCCTCAGGTCAGAAAGTGTCTAACACACTACTGGGGAGGAATGGAAGACAACTACAAGTAACTCCAGAAAGAACGAAGTGGCTGAGCCAAAGCCAAAAGGAAGCTCAGCTGCAGATGTGTCGGGTGACAAAAGGAAAGTCAGATGCTGCAAAAGATCAATATTGCATAGTAACCTGGAATATAAAACCTATGAACCAAGGTAAGCTGGATGTAGTGAAACAGGAGATGGAAAGATTTTTTAAAAAAAGATTAAACATTGTTATCTTGGGCTTCAGTGAACTTAAATGAACAGGAATAGGTGAATTTAATTCAGGTGATCATTATACATATTATAGGCAAGAATCCCTTAGAAGAAATGCAGTAGTTCTTATAGTCAATAGAAGGGTGAGAAAAGTAGTACTAGGGTATAATCTCAAAAACTACAGAATGATATCTGTTTGAATCTAAGACAAACCATTCAACATCACAGTAATACAAGTATACTATGCTCCAACTGAAACCAAATAGGCTAAAGCTGATCAGTTCTATGAAGTCCTACATCTTCTAGAAATAACACACACACACACACACACACACACACACACACACAATAGATGTCATATTCATCATAGGGCAGTATAATGCTAAAGTAGGAAATCAAAAGATAATTGGATTAATGGGCAAGTTTGGTCTTACAGTATAAAATGAAGCAGGGCAGAGGCTAATAGAGTTTTGTCAAGATAACTCACTGATCATAGCATTCTTTTTCAACAGTCCAAAAAGCAGTTCTACGTTTGGACATCACCAGAAGGTCAACATTAAAACCAGACTGATTATATACTTTACAGGTAAAGATGGAGAAGCTCTATATAGGCAGTGAAAACAAGACCTGGTGCAGACCATGGCTCAGATTATAAGCTTCTTAATGAGAAATTCAGACTTGAAGAAAGTAGGGAAAACCATCAGACCGTATAGATCTGACCTAAATAATATCCCTTATGAATATAATGTGGAAGTGATAAATAGATTTATGGGATTAGATCTGGTAGATGAGAGTGCCTGAAGAACTATGGATAGATGTTCCCAATACTGTACAAGTAGCATCAACAAAAAAAATTCCAAAGAAAAAGAAGAGCAAGAAAGCAAAATGGCTACCTGATGAGGCTTTACAAATAGCTGTGGAAAGAAAGAAAGCAAAAGGTAAAGAAGAAAAGGAAAGATATACCAAAAAAATGCAGAATTCAAGAGAATGGCAAGGAGAGATAAGAAGGTTTTCTTGAACGATGCAAAGAAATAGAAGAAAACAGTAGAATGGGAAAGACAAGACAGCTCTTCAAGAAAGTTAGAGATATCAAAGGAATGTTTTCACAAATGAGGGGGAAAAGTTCCAGCGAGATTAAATGACTTGGTCATTGTATATAGTCTATCTCTACTACTCTCCCACCAGGAAAATGTAAGCTCCTTGACAGCAGTGGCTATTTTGTTTTTGTCTCTTTATCACTTTTATTATGTGCATGTAGTAGGCACACAAAAATGCTAGTTGAGTGAAGACCTAGCACAGTGCCTTAAATATATTATTTATGTATGTATGTCTATATACATATATAATCTATATACGTGCCTGTATATACATATATGTGTGTATGTACATATTGGGTAGGGTGGTGGCTTGCATAGTAGACCTATGGTTTCATCTGTGAAATGAGCTTATTGTGAGGAAGCTCCCGTTACCAATGTACATTGACAATTGTTCTTCGATTTAGAATTAAGAGTAGGGGTTCTTAACCTTTTGTGTGTGTGTAAGGGATTCCTTTGGCATTTACCAGATACTACTAATAATACTGTGGTTTATTGCCTACATTCATAATTGAAGGAAATGCTAAATTTCAGTTAGAGGTTACGGAAAATAAAATGTGTATTTTTCCCCCTGCCACTTCAAAGCTCTTGCTGAAATGTGGCGGGCCCCAGATTAAGATAATTTAGATAATGGGCAACAGCGGGGTTTGTTTTTGTATTTCTATCCCTAGCTATTAGAATATTGACTGGTACATAGTAGGCACTTAATAATTTGATTACTGATTGATAATCACACTGATTTACCAAAGGTCACAAAGCCAGTACTAACAAAGGCTGACTCAAGGTTTCCTGACTCTGCAGCTACATCTTTTTCCATGGTAAGAGGATCCTTCTTTGCCTCACACATACATGTAATACATTTAATACATGTGTTTAATTGAATTGAAAAGTCATTTTCTTTCTGTATTGGACAGAACACTGAACTAGGAGTCAGCAGACCTAGCTTTGTCAATATCTAGATGACAAGTCAGTGCAGGCCTTGGGTCTTTGTTTCCTTGTTTACAAAATGAGGGGGTTAGCTTAGCTAAACTTCAAAGCCCCTTTAAACTCTGATATGGCACAGCCTAGTAGATAAATGACTGGACTTGCTTTCTGAAAAACCTGCAGTTCAAATCCAGTCTCTGGCACTTAACATATTATCACGAACAAATAATTTAATCTAAGTCTCTTTTCAATTATATTTCAGACTATCTTGCCAGCTCTCCCATATCTCTCCTCTCTTTTGCAGTTTGGATTCAAATATCATCATTCAATTGAGACTGTTGTCTTCAGTTGCCACCAGCTGCTCTGTTTGGTTTAAACTCTAACACCATCATTATGGCACAGTGCCAGGTACCCTCTGGGCATTGCCCCCCCTTTACAGTTTTCTTTTGTGTATTGTCTTCCCCCATTAGATTGTAAGCTCCTTTAGGTCAGGAACTGTCTTTTTCTTATTTGTATCCCCATTGCTTAGCACAGTGCCTGACACATAGTTCATACTTAATAAATGTAAATAATAAATGTAATGTAATATGTAATAAATGTTAATAAATGTATTTGTGTATGGTTTATTGTATCCAAAGTTACAAATGATTTTTTAATTGCCAAATCTAATAGCCTTTTCTCAATCCTCATTCTTTTTGACTTCTCTGTAGCATTTGACATTGTCTATCACTTTCTTCTGGAAGAGGCCTGTCACACACTCTCCAATAAACTCCAATGGCTCCCTGTTACTACCAGGATCAAATTCTCCGTTTGGCTTTTAAAGCCCTTCACAAACTTCTGTAACTTTCCAGTCTTCCTACACTTTAATTTCCCTCATCATTTTCTTTCATTTATTCTAAGATCTAGTGACATTGACTATTCGCTGTTCCTCAACCTTGACACTCAATTTTCACTCTCCCTAAATTTACACTGCCTATATCCCATGCCTAGATTGTTTTCTCCTCTCAGCTTCACATTTCTGCTTCCTTGAAGAGTTCTGGTCAAATACAACCGTCTGTAAAAGGGCTTCTCCAGTATCAGAGAGAGAGAGACCGAGAGATGAATATGGATCCATACATACACACACACATATATATACACATATATGGATATTACCTGTACATGCATTTTACATATATCTATGCACATATACATATATGTACATATATGTATATATTCAGCATGTATACATGTGTATTTATATAGTGTTATATCGTAAACATAATGTATGTATTAAAATGTATCTATATGTGTATCTCTCATATACATATTTAATACACATGTTATATTTTATATACAGGACTACATCTACCAGTATATTAACATGTGAATATATACACATACACGCACATGCATGCACACATATGTTTGTGTATATCTAGCTTTCATAACATAGTTGTTTGATGTGGTCTCCCTATCAGACTCTCAGCTCCTTGAGCGCAAGTACTGTTTTTGTTTTCCTCTGTATCTCTAGCACTAAGCACAGTACCTGGCACATTAGTAGTAAGCGTTTTATAAATGCATGTGGACTATTGAATGACCTTTATCAATAAGATCTATAGGCTTAAATCTGTAGTATCTACTTTACAGATTGTTTTAGGGGGCCAGAAGAAATAATGTGAATTGCTACGTAAATCCCAGTTACTATCACTAGCACATCAAACTTCGGTGGGAAGATCCACTTCTAGGAGACCCGTATATGCTCTCGGTTTGGAGAGGCTGAGAACTACATATCCCATGAGGCGGCGGGATTCGCCCATCAAGACCATCATGCCTCTGTCGTAGATTCTATATTAACTCCTTCATTGTCTCCCAGTTTATTAAGAAAGCCCAGAGCCTTATTGGTTGACCCGCGGCCGCCGGAACCCACCCTACCCCTCCATAGCCCACTGAGTTACTGCTTCAAAGTTTCTCAAGTCCTTCTCCTACCAGGCCAAACTCCGCTTGGGTTCAAAGGTCACCTCCTTCCCCTGGGTGTCTGTGAACCGGCCCATTACAAGCGCGCGCAGGGGTGAGCGGTGGTGGTTGGCTCGTGAGTCATGTGACTGTAACCCAGTGTTTGGTCAGCTGATCCCCAAGAGTTTCGTGGCGGCGGTCGGTTCCCTTAGTTACTGTTGGGTACCGGTTTTGAGTGGCTCCTGGAGCTGCAGAGGGGCGTCCAGGCCTGCTTTGTCCTTCGCAGTTTGTGAACCTAACCCTGCCCTTTTCCGAGGCCCTAGGTGTCTGGAGCCTCCGGCGTCCCGTTCCCTTGCCCTGGGCTGCGCCTCAGGCTCCGGTCCCAGAACTTGGCTCTTCGTACGCCCGCATCCAGGAAACGCCGGCGAGTCCCTAAGCAGGCCCGACTGCAGCGAGCAGAGTGGGGCCGTGGGTGTGAGGCTGCCCCCCTCCATGCTGAGGAGCAGCCGGGCCCGTTGTCCCGCGGCCGGAGTACAGGAGCCTAAGAGTGAGTGAGTGTGTGTGTGTGTGTGTGTGTGTGTGTGTGTGTGTGTGTGTGTGTGTGTGAGAGAGAGAGAGAGAGAACGCCAGTGTGTGTGAGTATGTAACTGAATGTGTGCCTGTTAACAGGTGTGTGTGTGTGAGTGTGTGAAAGAGAGTGAGATCCAGTGTATGGAGGAGTGCGTATGAGTGTGCAACAGTGTGTAGGTAACAGTTGTACATGTATGAGAGAGAGAGTAGTACATGAGATCCAGTGTGTGTATGAGAGGGCATGTGAGTGTGAGACTGAGTGCATTTAGGTAACTGTGTGTGTGTGTGAGTGTGAGCAAGAGACAGCGAGTGCATATGAATTTGTAACAAAATGTGTGTGGGTAACAGGTAGGGGTGTGTGTGTAAGAGTGAGATCCAGTGTATGTAGGAGTGCATATGAGTGTGCAGCTGAGTGTGTGTAGGTAACAGTTGTGGGTGTATGAGATAGGAGTATATGAGATCCCTTGTGCGTATGAGAGGGCATGAGAGTGTGAGACTGAGTGCATGTAGGTAACTGTGTCTATGTGTGTGTGTCAAAGACTGCATAAGATCCATAGTGTGTAGGAGAGTGGCACATATGAGGCTTGTCAAGAACAGGCAACTGAAAGTATGTATGTTGAACTCTGTGTTTTGAGTGCCTTCATGTATAAAATCCCTAGAAGGTGATCAGTAGTAATTTATTGGATTGCTTTGCTGAGGTGTCTTCTTCCTGAACTTAATGAAGGTTAGAGCTCTTCCCTCCTTTCCTATCCTGAATGCCCAGTTGGGCATCTTTTGAATCTAGAGGCTGGAAGGGCTTTTAAGTCTTTGAAGTCCAGTCATAGGATAGGAAATCAGAACAAGTCATCATTGATGATTCCTCTGTAGATCTTAGGTATCTAGGTGTCGCTATATTTCTTCAATTATTTATGTGATAGTGAGTGATTAATTGACCCGAAGAAGAGTAAAAGCAACAGACCCCCTGTTAGCTATCATTATGTCATTTTTAAAAAGTTAGAATATTATTACTATGTATAATATTATTTTATATGATTATATGTATATACTTACTATCCCTGTGTAAGATAGTTTTCTATTTTCGCCACTGATGTGTGCTGCTATGCTTTAAACATATTAAGTCCCAAAATAAAGACTTGAATGAATGAAAAGAAGCACACATAGAGGGACTTAGCAATAAATTTTATATATCTGTATTTTGATGCTTCCCAATATCCTAACAGTCTGTCAAGTGAAGCCTTGCTGTGTCTTAAAAAGTTTAGGAGAGATGTGGTAGCTTAAAGGTGTTTCTTTCTTATATACATTAGTAAAAGGACCTTGTATCTATATAAATTATAGCTCTTAAAAAAAGATCTTTGCATATTTAAGGGAGGCTTTCTTTATTAATTTGCCTTTTCCAGTTTCTTTTTTTCCTCCCCACTACTTATGTGTATAAATTGAGAAAGTATTTTAATGACTGATGTTTAAAAATTAAGTGTTTCAGATGTGAAATAAATTCTGGATAATGAAGTAAAAGCTAGAGAGAGTATAAGAAAAGTAAACTGTTGGAAACTATTTCCCAAACAGTTAGCTCGGAAAATTCTGTGTTGATTGCTGTTTGAATTGCATTGAATGGTCAATATTTGAATATAAGGTAAAGTTGTAAGAGAATGGCACTGAATTTTTTGTCTTTAGTCACTTTGTAAATATGTTAATGACAAAATTTGTCATTGTATGCTTTCAGAAATATAAAATGCCTCAAAAGCTGTTTGTCTTTTTTCATTTAGTGTTTCCATTTGTGTAAATAATTTGTGAATATTTGCTTTGGGAGTTGAAAACTACCTGCTGATTATGGCTCATCAATATTCGAAGGAACAGCTAGATGAAGAGTTTGAACAATTTATGAAAGAGGTAAGTTTGTGTTTTTACAAGGCTGATAAGCTAGAGAACATAGTCTAATTGAGGAAAGGGACTGTCTTCTTTTTATATTCCTCTCCTCTCCTCTGTCCTTTGTGTAATGCTTAACTCAGTACCTGAACAATTATGTCTTGAATTTGATTAAATATGCTTCCTAACCAGCTAGTCACCATCTTTTGATGTACAAAGAACTCCGGACTAATAGTCAGAAGACTTGGGTCCTTGTTATCGTTCTTTAGCCTTGGGAAAATCCCATCAGTGAGAGGTTGGATGAGGTTTTCTTTAATGCTCCTTCCATCTGTAATAATTATTTGACTGTATTCTGTAACTTTGGTTTTTAACAATATTTGAGAACATGATAAATACAAGTTTAAATCCATTGACATGAATAATTTTGTGTTTTGAATCAGTTAACATCTACTAACTTTAATTTGATTCAGCTAACATTTACTAAAGTTCTTAAACCTCACCCTTCTTGACCTCTCTGCTCCTTTGACACTGCTAATCACCCTCATCTCCTTGATACTCTGTTTTGGAGGTTTTCATGACAGTGCTTTGTCCTGGTACTCCTCCTACAACATTTCACAGGGTTGTTGTAGGGGTCTAAATGAAATAATGAATGTAAATTAATAAGTAAATCCCAGTCATTATCACTAGTACATCAAACTTTGGTGGGAAGAGCCATGCCTAGCAGACCAGCAAGCTTACTGGTTGGAGAAGCAGAGAATTCTGTGTGGAATTCACCTTTAATGACCATCATGCCTCTGCCCTAGGCTCTGTATTAATCCTTTATTTGTCTTAAAATTTATTACGGAAGCTTATTGATTGACCTCCAGGTATGGCAACCCACCCTACCCCTCCATAGCTCACTGAATTATTGATTCAGAATTCCCAAATGGGATGATGGCTATGTGAGTGGAAAGAAAAGGACAGATGTTGTGAAGGTAAAATTGCTAGGACTTAGGAACTGATTGGATATAGGGGATTAAGGGTGAGGGAAAAGTAAAGCATGATTTCCAAGCTTACATGTCATACTATGCCTTCTCATTCTTCTTTGCTAGATAGTCATCCAGGCTATGCCCACTAACTGTGAGTATCCACTACTACTCTGTCCTGGGCTTCTTTTGCCTTCTGTGGGTTCAGTTATCTTTGTTCAGAGAACTCTCACATCTGTTTAGCTACCCTTAACCTCTCTCCTGACCACCTATCAGTTTCTCATCTCCCAACTGTCTATTGGACATCCTGAACCAGATGTCCCATAGATACTTTAAATTCAGTGTATCCAAAACTGAATTCATTATCTTCCCCCCGCCCCGCCAACCTTCCCCCTTCCAGACATCCATATTACTGTTGAGGGCACCATCCTCTCACTCTCCCAGGCTCCCAACCTAGATGTTATCCTTGACTTCTCATTTTCTCACCCTGCCACATATAATCATTTGTCAAGTCCTATCATTTCTGCCTTTATAATTTCTCTTACTGATTTTACCCCCTCTTTCCTCCTATACAACCACCGGCTTGTACTATTACAACAGTCTTTTGGTTGGTCTCTGTGCTTCAAGACTCTTCCCACTCCAGTTCATCCTCTACTCAGCTGTCAAAATGATTGTCCTTAATGATAGGTCTGACCATGTCATTCCCTATTCAGTAAACTCCAGTGGCTCCCATTACCTCTGTTTTTTTAAATTTTATTTATTTTTTTTAATTTTTTTTTTCCTTATGCTTTTGAGTTGAAAATTTTTTTTCTCCCTTTTCCTGCCCCCCCACCCTCCCCAAGACGGCACACAATCTGACATAGGCTTTATATTTACATACCCATTAAACATATTTTCACATTAGTGAAGTTGTAAGTAAAAATTAAAACCAATAAGAGGAACCATCAGAAAGATGAAACAAAATTCAACTTAAGGTAAAATTAAGTGAGAGCAATTTGACTGCCATAGTTCTTTCTTTGGATGTGGACAGCATTTTCCATCCCGAGGCCTCTGGAGATGTCTTAGATCCTCGTAATGCTGAGAAGGGTTCAGTTTAACATTCTTAGTCATTGCATAACGTGGCTACAATTGTAGACAAAGTCCTCTGTGTTCTGCTCACTTCACTCAGCATCAGACCATATAAGTCTTCCCAGGTTTTTCTGAAGTCAGCCTGTTCATCATTTCTTATAGAACAATAGTATTCCATTACATTCATATACCACAACTTGCTCAGCCATTCCCCAATTGATGGGCATCCTCTCAATTTCCAATTCTTTGCCACCACAAAAAGAGCTGCTATGAATATTTTTGTACATGTGGGCCCTTTTCCCATTTGTTTGATCTCTTTGGGATATAGCCCTAGAAGTGCTATTGCTGGATCAAAGGGTATGCACATTTTTGTAGCCCTTTGGGCATAGTTCCAAATTGTTCTCCAGAATGGTTGGATCATTTCACAACTCCACCAACAATGTATTAGTGTTCCAATTTTCCCACATCCTCTCCAACATTTATCATTTTCCTGTTTTGTCATGTTGACCAAAGAGGAGATAGAGAACATTATGAAAAGCAAAATGGATAATTTTGATTACATTAAATTGAAAAGTTTTTGCACAAACAAAGCCAATGCAACTAAGATTAGAAGGAAGGTAGAAAATTGGGAAAAAACTTTTACAACCAGTCTTTCTGATAAAGATGTCATTTCTAAAATATATAGAGAATTAAGACAAATTTATGAGAACACAAGCCATTCCCCAATTGATAAATGGTCAAAGGATATGAACAAGCAGTTCTCAGATGAAGAAATTAAAGCCATCTATAGTCATATGAAAAAATGCTCTAAATCATTATTGATTAGAGAAATGCAAATCAAAACAACTCTGAGGTACCACATCCCTATTACCTTTGTGATCAAATGTAAAATCCACTGTTTGGTTTTTAAAGCCCTTCATACTCTGGCCTCTTCCTTTTTTTTCAGTCTTCTTATCCTTATTCCCCTCCATTTGCTTTTCCATCCATTATCACTGGCCTCTTTGCTATTCCTTGGACAAGACACTGCATATCTCTATTCCCTGCATTTTCGCTGACTGTCCCCCATGCCTAAAAATTTCTCCCTCCTTATCCCTGCCTCCTAGCTTCCAGCAATAAGCCTTTCGCAGTCCTCCTTAATTTAATTTTTCTGAGATTCTCTACATTTTACCATATGTGTGTGTATGTGTCACATGTATGTACCTTGTGTATATATAGCTGTTCCTGTCTTGCCTGCTCCATTAGACTAAGCTTCTTGATAGCAGGGACTTTTTTTTTTTGTATGTCAGCATGTGGCACATGACTGGTACATATTAGATATTTAATAAATATTTGTTGAGTTGTTGACTACTAAGGCACTAGTGTAAGGCACTATTAGGCACTAGAGAAACAAGGACAAAAAGCATTCCCCTGGAGCAGCTAGGTGGTGCAGTGGATAGAACACCAGGCTTGGAGTCAGGAGGACCTGAGTTCAAATGTGACCTCAGACCAGACACTTGACACTTACTTGCTGTGTGACCCTGGGCAAGTCACTTAACCCCAGCTGCCTCACCAAAATAAATAAATAAAAAGCATTCCCCATCAGAAAAGATACTATACTATAATCCATAAACATTTAACTGTCTACTATGTATCAGGCACTGTGCTAAGTGCTAGGGATACAAAAAGAGGCAGAAGACAGTTCCAGCCCTCAGGGAGCTTACAATCTAGTGGAGGAGACACCATGCAAAAAAATATACAAAGTAAGTTATATACAGGATAAACAAGAAATAATTGACAGAGGGAAGATATTGGAATTAAGAGGAGTTGTGAAAAGCTTCCTGTAAAAGATGGGATTTTAGTTAGGACATTATACCATAAGAATGTAACATGTATACAGATAGGAATAATACCAAGTAGAGGGTGAAGAGGGCAAAAGAGAGAGAAGACAAAGTAGGAGAATGTGAGGAAGAGTGAGTAGTAATAACTGGAAAAGATTAAGGAAGGTTTCATACAGGAAAGTGCCAGCTGAGCTACACCTTAATGGAAGATAAGGATACTGAAAGATGGAGAAGAGGAAAGAACATATTCCGGACATAGATACAGAGGAGAGAGATGGAATGTTTAGTTTTGGGGAACAGCTAGCAGCGTAGTTTGTTTGAACGGTGGAATTTCCTTACGTCTGGAATGTGAAGTATAGCCAGAAAGACAGGTTGAATCCAGATTATAGAAAGCCATAATCAGCTAAGAAATTTGTATTTTGTCTTAGAAGCAATGATGATTTGGCAGCCACTGAAAGTTTTTGAGCCTGGAAGTAATATGGTCAGATCTATGCCTTAGGAAGATAATTGTGGGTGCTTTGTGAAAGATGGAAGGATGTAGAGGTGAGAGAATGGGAGTAGGGAAACTCATTAGGAGGCTGTTGCTGTTCTCCAGTTGATCAGTGATAGGGACTTGAATGAGGTAATGGCTTGTGTGAATGGAGAATAAGGACAGAGACACTAACTGTTGTAAAGGTAGAATTGCTAGGACTTAAGGACTGATGGGATGTAGGAGATTCAGGGCAAGGGAAGAATGTGAAGCATGTCTTTAAAGGTTGCAAATCTGGGAAGATTATGGTGCACAAAGCAGAAATAGGAAAATTTAGAGTAAGCAAGATTTTCTGGACACAGATGAGTTCACTTTAAGACGTGCTAAGGCAGGGGACAGAGAGAGATATGGGACTGTTATGTAAAAGAGAAATTAGGACTGGTTGTATGTATGGATTGTGAAGTAATCTGGATAGAGATGATAATTGAACCTGTAGAAATAAGTGACATCATCAAGGGAGAGTATAGAAAGAAATCGTCTGGGGCATAGTTTTGGGAGGTACCTTGCTAAGGAGTGGGAGATTATTGATAATCTAACAAAGATTACTAAGAATAGGAAGAGAGGAGAGCATTCACAGATGTTCTCTGTGGTTTCACAGTGGCACTGGGAACAAATGAGAAGGTTACCAAAAACTTCTAAAGAAGA